TACCTTATTTGGGCGTCCTTATAATAGGGATCCTATTATTTAGGGTACTATATTAGGGTCCCCTATTTTCGGAAACCCCCACATTCTCCTGAACACCAAAACTTGTCGATCGGTTTTTTCTCCTCCAGCTTCCCATGAAGTATCACCCCTAAACTCTAAGAGCCCAACCGTAGCACACAGCTCCTCTCTTTAGTGGCAATTTCTTTGATTCTTCGAGCCACTTCGCAAACCTTGCCAGAGGTTGTCGCAAGTGGCGGATGCTGGACGCGTGCTGCCCTCCACCGCCGCGCTATCGAGTTGAACCCAAGGAGAGGAAAACATGTACTACTGCTACTACAATGACGGCGATTACTGCTGCTGCTACTACTACTACTACTACTACTACCACTGCTACTACTACTACTACTACTACTACTACTACTACTACTAATTGTACCAGTACATAAGTACTACTAGTCCTGCTAGTACTACTCGTTCTACTGATACTCCTAGTACTACTATTGCTTCTAGCGCTGCTAGTGCTGGCACCTGTAGTGCTAGTACTTTTACCCTACACATCTTTTTGATCTTGAACAGCTTCTTGTGATTGTTGTGATTGAAGGTGGCCGGGTTGGGGTGAGGGGGTGGGTGGTGGGGTTGGCAGCGTCTTCTAGCGCATCCACGGGGTTCATCGGTTTTGCTTTAAGTATCCCTGACTTGGGCAAAAAAAACGGGCCTTCATAACTACAACAGGGTTCTGGAGCCCACTATATGATACTATAACATATGATAAGGAACCCTCCAACATAGTACAGGTAATTCTTGAGGCCCCCACATTAGTTGCCCCAGCCCGTCAGGCGACAATAAGGAGCCCAGGTTTCACCGGTTTGCATGTTATGCCTGCCTTAGGGTTTAGGGTTTAGGGTTTAGGGTTTAGGGTTTAGGGTTTAGGACGGAACCTGCAAGAAGCTCAAACACTCAAGCGCAGCAGCCCCGAAGGGTCCATGTGTCCAAACAGTAGATACCTTGGCCTTAAAGTAGTGCCTATTTGGGTACTTTGGGACCAAAGTATCTGCTAGTTGGGCACATGGACCCTTATACCCTAAACCCTATAGAACCTATATAGATCCCTCAAAGGAGCCTTCTCGGGTAAACCCTAAACCCTAAACCCTAAACCCTAAACCCAAAACCCTAAACCCTAAACCCTAAACCCTACCCTGAAAGTATCAGCTGTTTGGGCACGTGGACCCTTCGGGCAGAGTGCGATCAGTGCACGTGCAAAAAACTCCCATCTCCAGAGTTCCGGAGATGTGGGTTTAGGGTTTAGGGTTTAGGGTTTAGGGTCCAAGCGAGCGTGATTTTACCTATGCTATTTGTGGGGGGTTCTCCTTACTATAATTATAGTATCATCTACCCCAACACCCAACCCTTTGGGCACCCGTCGAATCTGATAATTTGGAGATTTGTAACCCTAAGGAACAGTAGTGCGATAGCCACACCCATGCTACGAGTCAACTTCGTTGGAGTGGGAGACATCTCAGTGATCAACGTATATGGCGAATAAGATAGCATCCATGATGCTGCTGATGATGGGTGTGATGGCAAGCAGGGCGATGACGACAATGTAATGATAATGCTACATTCGTGGTAGAAGAGCGAGTCTAATAATGGTAGCGATGGTGACGAGCGTGGAGATGGCATATGAGTCGTCATCACGCTCAACATCCAGAGAAAGATCTCAGCTACCACGTGCAAAGCCATCACCACCATTATCCTAATCACAGACATCATGGCCATGGCATGATGAGCGTCGAGAAGTTGCGAAGGGCTGGTGCAAGACCCATGGTAGCACGAGTGGCCCTTCGAATGCCATGCACAGCTACGGTACAACATAACCCCCCCTAAACCCTATCAAAGAGCCTTAACGTAGCGAAGTAACGAACCTTCAACCTGGAACCCTAAACCCCAAAGCATCTCCGGAGGCATGCCTGTGCCTACCGCGCCCCGACTGTGTCTTTGCGGGTGGATGGTGGGGCTTTGATCGCATCGGCCATGGTGGGCTTTTGAGGTTTTAGTATTTAGGGTGTTTTGGGGTTTGGGGTTATGAGGAGGAGCATGAATGCAAGCGTAGGAAGGGCATCAGCATGGCAGTCGCTGATGTGGACAAGTGCGCTTATTGTGACTGAATGAAGAGTTTTCGCACTGCTTGAAAAGTGAGTAAAATGAACGCTGAATAGAAACGCCCCAAGTCCGTAAGCTGCTCATTTTCAACACTGTGTTTCCTCTAACCAACCGTAGAAGCTTTCAACCTGCAGACATAAGGCCTGGATGCTCTCTTCAGAACTCGCTTGAATGCTTATTCCAGCGAAGAGGAGGAGCTCAAAGAATGAAGAACAGTAGCATTGACAAGCACAGCGCTCTGAATGATATCAAGATTGTAGTAATACCTCTACTGTAGTGGGTAGTCGCAGAGTAGTAGTAGTAGTA